GACTGCTGCATGAGTGAGCCCTAACAACCTCGCCTTTGCAAAATATTTCAGTGTAAATGCTCGGCATTTTGAATAATATGTCAATTAAATTAGCGCAGGCTCCTCCCCCACAGACAGACTCTGCATTCTATCTCAAAATAAAGTAGCTAAATACAGGTACTCTCATCTTGACTGCCAACAAACGCCAGGCACAAACAATGAGACATCATCTTTGGTGCCTGAAATGGGTGTGGGGTTCAGACTGGTTTGCTCAGTCTTTGGTCCCCAGTTCCAGCAGATGAATTGTGCCCCCTGAGGCCTTGATGACTTTCTCTGCTGTCAGAGAGGAGTTGAATGGTGATCCTGGGCTTCGTGCAGGCTTGCGTTCTGAACACTGACAGCAAAGGCTGGCATTTGCCTTCTGCCCGAATCCAAGGTGCCTGGCAGGGTGGCCAGGCATCTCCCTGGTGGGGGGGAAGTGAGTCAGCGTCTGAGTCACTCTAGAGAATGCAGCCCTGTGTCCTCGCTCCCAGGTCTCACACAGCAGAGCGCCTGGCTGTGGGGTTAAGAGTCCAGCAGCAGAACAGCCCCAGCCCTGATGAAAACCAGGCCTGAACTCCCCAGCAATTCCTTTGGGTTCTAGCCTTAAATGGAAACAGTATTTGAGTTGAAAATCCTCATTGGTGCTTACCTGCAGGAGGAGCCTGTGCTAATCTGATTGGCATATTGTTCAAAATGCTGAGCCTTTACACTGAAGTATTTGCAAAGATGAGTTTTCAAAGCCATCATACCCAACTAACGGAAGTAAGTGTGTAGGGGCTTCTGCTTCGCCCTGGGCCTGGGGCTGCCAGGTCTTCCTTGCCGCAGTGATAAGAGTTGTTATTTGGTAGTGAGGGCTTACTGCATACCAGGCAGTAGAGCAGGAGCTTGCAAACAGACCTGCAGGAAACTGACTTGAAATTTAAAATGTGGCAGCAATAGTGAAATACATTGAGCAGGCAGCAGGGTCCCACAGACTGTCTTGTAACTGGATTCTTTTAAGTTATCTGGACAACTTCACCAAGGATTGAATTATGTTTCCTGAAAGTCATATGTTGAAGTCCTAACTGCTGGCATTGTAAAATGTGACTAAATATAGAAATAAGAGCAGTGTAGATGGAATAGGTTAGGATGAAGTCATTAGGTGGGTCTTAATTCATTAGGAGATAGGAGCGAAGAGCTAGATGTTCCCCAGGAAACACTCCCTCAAACAGAGGCGGCCTCCAGCACCTTGTAGCTGGTTAGACTATGTGCAGCACCCTCTGGCTACAGCTCCTGCTGGAAGAGGCTTCAGTCACAAGCCCTGCCCTGCAGCCTCTCTGGACAGCCCCACCCCTCTGCACCCTCCTCAGTCAGGCCTGCTGGGGGTCCCTCCTCTACCCAGGTCCAAACAGAAAGCCTGACACTGTGCGCATGTGAGCCTGAATTTTCCCTTAGAAGCGGCCTCCCATATCCTTAGTAGGTTCAACCAGGGCACGGTTCCCCCTTGTGCTGCACTGTAAGTCCTAAGCACGTCTCTTCTGGATGTCAGTCTTGTCTGTGTATGATTTCGGTTTCCAGCAAAACACACTGAGCTTGTACTCCAGGAGCTGGACACTCTCAGTCTGCTTGAGCCCAAGTGCCAGTAATCGGGGCTGGTAATGCAGAAGGTGGCAGGCTGTGGAGAACAATGGAGAGCAAGCAACAAAACAGCCCACCAGACCTGCTGGGAGCTCCTGGCTCACTGTGGCATGCCGGGCATCTACCACTGCAAGATCTGCTGGTTGCTGGCTTTTGCCACCCAGAGCTATTAACACTAAAAGAGCTGTCCTTTGCCAGCTGTGATTTCCTTATGAGCCGGGCAGAACCAGGACACACTGCTCTCCCAGGGAAGAAACCAGGCCCAGACGTAGAATTACTGCCAATTCTATTCACAAAGGAATAAAGCCAGAGTTCATTCTGCTACCCAGGTGCTTTGAGGCTCCTGAATTTTCTCCTGACCCAAATTGTCGAGCACTAGAAGGACACAGAGGGTCAGCCCAACAGTCACCAACAGCAGGATTCTGTGATGTGATACCTGTGGAATCCGGACTGGCAAGGGCCAGGTGGATGAGACATGGGATTTCAATGTCTTTCCTACAGCCTCAGCTTCCAACAACCCCATTGCGAGAGGGGTTCCCACCCCCAACAATAAAAATGAGAAACTTTGTCCTTATCATGGAGAGACTTTGTCCTCATTATGGAGAGTGCTAGAGTTTGCTCAGCTGTCCATAGTCATCTCCCAAACCAGTGGTTACTTGTGCAGAGCATGCTGTCCACTGAGAAAGAGACAAATTTTTTTAATTATCTACATATTTACATCCAAGAAAATCAAATTAATTTGATCGTCAGGCAAAGAGAGGCCATGTCCTGTAGAAGTGTGAAATTACAGCATTACAACCAACCATCAGAAATGTGAGTGGCCACTTGCCCTTTTCCCTGCTGGGCCTCAGACCTCACATTGGTCCCTTCCTGTTTCAGCAGCCCACTTCTTCCCAACACTGCCCACGCCATTTTGGACAACTGGGTAAGTGTTACTACCCATAAATATGTAGCCACTTTTTGTGTTTCTGAAGTCGGCTTTCAGTCAAAGTTGTCGGAAAGAAATGAGAAGAGAATAAAGTAGGTTGTATTGGCTGCCCAGGCAGACATTTTTAAAATTTAAAATCAAAAGAATAAAACTATGTATCAAGAGATCAAACTGAGAACATGAATATGTATTAACTGAAATTTGTGTTTAACAAGTACCTTCTATTTTGCCCAGTACTGTGCCAAAAATTGAAGGAAAATTGATGTCAACAATACTCTTATTATCTTCAGTTAACTCAAAATATAATCTGACCGGGATTAAATATCTGACACAAGTCCAAGATTAACATAACACAGCATGCATGTAAGTCTGAAGGTAGTCACTGAGACTATATTTTCTAAGAGCTCAGAAGGTGACGATGAAAAGCAGCCAATGTCCAGAGTCACCATGCGGTGCCCTTGTGGACAGTGCTCAGCAGGACAAGATTCATAGAGTCACAGGCAGAAGATTTCCTTGAGACTCTAGATTTAAAGGGCAATTACACAACTGCTCCAAAATACGCAAAGTGAAATTATAGGGATCTGATCATTATTTAAAAGTAAGGTGACTGGGAATGAAAACAGAATGCTTCAGTGTGATCGGGTGTGAGTGGGGACTGTGGACTTGTAAAGAAAACCAAATTCTGCCCTTAATTGTAGGATTTCCCCACCATGGTAAATAATGTGCATTTTCCTCTTTTGAGGAAGAAACACAACACTATTAAGGAGTCCTTCTCTGTTTCTCGGTCACCTTTAGTAGCCCCACAATGCAAACGTACAAAGCTCTCATTCACCGAATTAAACTGTGGCTCCTTCTCCACACACACAAATTTCCTTCTCCCCACTCTGGGTAGACCAGACAGCAGCTTCCTGAGAGTTACTTAACCACCTGATTAATTGCTGGAGCCCTTATGTAAATTACTGTCAGGATTAAGAGGATAGTTTTATCCCTGATTCTGCTTGATAAACATTTACAGTTTAACACATCTGACAAAGCTATTTGTATACTGCTGCAATATAAATGAAGGTATATTAAAGCTATAATAACTATGATATTAATGGCTTTAAAATAATTTGCTAACTACAGACAGCTCCCTAAGCAATTACAAGATGTGCTGTGTTAATTTAGAAAGGAATTCTAAACAAGGCATTTAAGACCTAATAAGATGCCATTAAACAAAATGGGACAGGGGAGAAGGAAGGAACAGAAAAGCCTAAGGCTCAAACCAGTGGAAACGATTCTCAGAGCTACTGACCCTTGCAAGATCCATGTTCTCCTTGGGTTTGTAGGTTCAAAGCAGATTTTTAATTGAAGGTGATTATCTGGTTACTACATCCTAAATCACATGTACTTCTTGTATTAATTCACATCCACATCCAAGTATACATAGCGTTTATCAACTTGGAAGTCCCTAGAAACAGTTGCCAATCTACTAACTATGTTCAATAAAATGAGCCCTGTGAATGAGACACTATATACAGGACAACAGCCCACCTTTTGGTACTCATGGAGATCTGTGAGCTGAATTCTGAGGTGACTCAACTGGAAATAAATTTTACAAAGAGATCACTGAGAAAAGCTCCTGGCTTGCTGGAGTGTGGACTCCCGTGTACATGCCTCTTGTTCCCCAGAAATGTACACATTTATATAGTTACCACCACCATCATCAGAACAGAGAAGATATATGTATATCTCTAAAAAGCACAAATTCCTACACAGAAAATTATGACTGCATACACTTGATGTGAGAGCTATGCACCTCCCCTAAGGGTGGGCAGCTTGACCAAGGCAACAGAAGAGTAAAGAAATTCAGACTTCTGCTGTGTAAAATACAGCTTCTATAATCAATATTAACACACAAGTCATTTCAAATCCCCAAAGCAGACAGAGGATAATTTGCCCACGAAAGACACAAAGACAAGAATAGCATTCACCCTGTCTTTCACTTATCAGATTAGAAGGAGGTTCCCTCTTAATGTTTGAGTTTCCATCACTGATTATGAAAGCAGCATGTGTCCAAACAGCTTACAAAGCCCAAAGACAACTTGTTGGTAAGGAGAGAATATGAAAGTAGATCCAATCAAGCATCACTGCTATTAAAACAGATTAAACACACAGACAAATGTGAGTGTGTTTTAGGTTCTGTTTCCCTGAGATGAATGAAACAGCACTCATTTTGAGAACCTGGGTTTAGTATTTTTCATCAACTTAGCATAAAGTTTTCATTTAAAATAACCTGGAAAAAAATAACCTGCATTCCAAGTCAGGTGTATCACAAAGAAGCATTTTCAGCAAGAGATGAACACTGACTTACATAGAAGAGAAAACGTATTTCAGGCACTCAGCCTGCAGTTGTGTGAATCCATCATCGCTGAAAAAGAATTCCTGGCCTTACCTCAAGGTTCATGTTCACAGAACTAATGGCCACTTTTATTTCCCCATCTGACAGTTCCTTCAAGTCTTTCAGCAGTGTTTGCTCCGTACTTAAACCTGTCAACAACAAAGGGGAAACTGTTACATTCAGGGAACTTTTTCTAACACCAAGGTATTATGTAAAGAAATCACTGTATTAATTTCTATATTTTGTCCTTTGATATCACTTCTATCCATAATAAACACACACACACACCCACTAACCGCATTTGTGACTTGTCTGCGGAGTTAAGATTCCAGAAAAAAAGAGAGCTCCCCTCTCTTGAGCAGAGAAAGGCTCATTAGTGACAGCACCCACACCGAGATGTGTGCAGGACTAAACACAGCAAATGAAGGGTGATGGGGTCCAGAGATTAGCAAGGGACAAAGGAAGCAGAGATCCAAGGCTGGAGAAAAAGGGAATCAGAAAGCTGTCTCCAGCACAGGAAGGAAGAGCTCCTTCTCTATACCCAGCTTTCCGTGGGTTGCTAACTGCCCCCACTGGCCAAGCCCAGCTGGAAGCAAGTGCTATGGGAGCCCAGGTGGTGAAGTACTCAGGGTTCTGCCTGGGAAGGTCCACCAGAGGGGTGGAGGGAGTGGAAGAGGGCGGTTAGATGAAGAACAGCAAGAATAACCATGCAGAATAGCCCAAAATGTGCTTTTGGGGTACATTTAAATGAGCTCCTTCAATTTTATAACTTATAGAATAATTTTATTCAAAACGTACTTATAAATGTGGGCCATAAACTATCATGATAGAATTGACAACCCTGGTAATGAGCTCTGGCAATAGGATGCCTGAATTCCTTAATCGATGGGAGGAATGGCTGAATGATCTAAAACCATATAGGCAGGATTAGTTGACCAGAAAACTTCATAAAATCTATCACAGCGAGTCAGAAAAAGGTCCGGCTCAACGTTTAGTTACCCTGCTACATTATGATGTCTGAACAGGCGTCCAGTCTTGGGGAAATACCCGTAATAAAGCCCAGTAAAGCACATGTGACCTTCTGAGATGCTTGCTAAGACACAAAGTTGACTGCGTACCCCACCAGATGCAGAACGCGGTCAATCCCAGCCACAGGAGGAAACAAACAGGCGCTAAGCATTCCTCTTTGACTGGATGATCAAAAAGCCACTCGTCTTCCTACTACAGCGTAAAGTGATTTATAAGGCATATTGGGACATTAAGCCCTTAGTATAGGTATAAAAGTGAATGACAAATGGGCCCCTGTGCAGTTAAACATCTACACCGTGTACAGGTAACTGGGGATGCAGCAGGCACTGTCGGTCCCCGACTCACATTTCCTCAGATTCCCCTTTCTCAGGGTGTTCAGCACCATCTGCATCTGCATCTTTTCTTGAACCTTTCTTTGGTGACCAGAGCCTGTTTGGAGAATTAACAGCCCCTGGGGCTAGGGAGTCCTCACTACCCCCAAAGTCTACTGGTGAATGTTCAAAAACCAGCAATAAAACCAATTTGTGGTGTTCATCAGTTTTTGCAGTAGCGTTCTACTACCACGGCTGATCTCAGGTTACCAATCTTACATCACCCGACTCACAAACTTCCTGAAAATGTCCCCAACAGTTCTCGGGGTCCGAGGGAACACTTGTGAAATCGCTGGACATACAATTCCACACCCTTCCCGGGCTCCCTGGTGTGAGTCAGCTCTGGCTTTCCGCTGAGCTAACTTGCTAGGTAAAGCACTCCATTCCCTGTGGGTGTTGTCTGGGATCGTCCCCCATGAACTGCTTTGCTCCTGGGGAGTCATTAAGGAAGCAAGGAAGTTGTGCCATTCAGTATTTGCCCCTTAGAGGCAGATCGTTTGGGTTGAGATCCTGGTCTGGCCACTTGCCAGCTGGGGGTCTTTGCAGCTGGGGAAGCAGAAAAGCCTTTCCGTGCTCAGCGTTCCCATCTGGAACGTGAGTACCCTAAGGCACCTGCTCAGGGAGATCATCCTTGCACACCTGCACCATTGCTTCTGCCACATTCTCAAAGCAGAACTCTGTCAGCGCAAGGATTGCAGGTAGGGAGGCATCTGAGGTGGACTGAGGCACCTCAGATGATGAACTACATACAGACGCCAGGGCCTCGGGCGAGAGGCACGGCCCAGGCAGCCCAGGGAGCCTGAAAAATCTTCTGCGAGCAATGTTGTGGGAAGAGAGTAAAGGACACTAGCACTGCCCTTCATGGGATGGATGGCACATGGGACCCATCGCTACTCAAGGACTGCGGACGCTCACTCACCGTGAGCACTGGCCTGGGTTTCCTGCAGGACGCTGATGATGTCTTCCCTCGGAGGTAAGTCAGGAAACTTCTCCTCTAGGACAGACAGAATCTCCTCCTGCTTCTCAGAGAGCTTCTCTGGATCCATAGTCATCCACGTGAAGAGGATGCTGCCTGAAAGACAGGGATAAAATATCCATGAGTGTTCCAGCCAGCAGGAGACAGTTCCGGAACATCAGTGTTCGTATGTTACAGGTATCAATCTCCACAACGTCACAGAACCTAGCAGGCTTTATGGTCGGAGCTCAGGGGTAGCTGACCCTCACCCCGTGATACATGATATATACACACAAGCATGATACATGGAGGATTTTAATGACTTCAAAATGAGAACGAGTGTAGACTATGTAAATGTAGTCTTTAAGATTCTTTTTAAGAGATCACAGAGAATGTTTTCTCCACTCACTGTATTACTGATTTTAAATACACAATTCCTCCTTTTCACAACTAAATGACTGCATAATTCTACCACCAACAGCTAACTAATCTGGCAAAGTGATTGCCGGAGGCCTATTTCTGACTTTCAAAGACTGTACAGAGTTTTGAAAGAATTTACTATTATCTAAATATAAGGATTCACAAACTGGTTTATATTAAAAAAAAACAATTTGTCAATGTGGTTTTAGGAAGGACATATTGAAAAATTAGGTTGAAGAGGTAGATAGAGATCATGAAGGACCTTACAAAGCCTCAGAGTTATGTTTTGTAAGGTTACTCGAAAAGGTAGATTGTGAAAGGTGAGTTGGTACATATCTATAACCCCAGCACTTGGGAGGCTGACGCAGGAGGATCACCATGAGTTCAAGGCCAGACTGGGCTACCTAGTGAGTTCAAGGACACCCTGAGCTGCATACTGAGACCCTGTCTGGGGGGTGGAATATTGGGATAAGCATTAAGGAGTCCTTTTTTCTTTTCTTTTCTTTGTAAGAACTGAAAAAACAACAGCTTTATAAGCAGAGAAATGTGTACTCAGTTCAAATGAGCATTTCAAGGTGGAAGGTAGCCAACTGACTTTGAGTATATAACATGTAGTCTAACAATTTTTGACTTAAAATCCAAAATATAAAGATGACTTTCCCACTTTTCATTAAAATCAAGGTTAAACTGAACTTCAAAAAAGATATTTTGTCTGCCTTTGGCTTGGACAGACTCCTTGTACTAGTAGAAAGAAAAAAGGCTATAGTAGCAATAACCACAAGGCCTAAAGACATAGCTGTGTTCAATTTTATTATAACTGATGATATAGGCAATTCTTTTTAAGATAGCAAGAGGCAGTATGATACCATTGTTGATCACCTGGTATTTTGTTTTTACATTATCTATTATGTCCATCCTTTTGATTTGACTGACTCTGTTCTGTTATGTCACATTTGGTTTTACTCTCTTCAAAAAAAGTAATAAGAACTGTGGGAGTAATAAAACCCAAAATGTGTAATTGTCATTGTACAAAAGAGAGGCAAAGAAAGTGCTCTAAAGGATATAACTGCATATATATTTAAGTGTATAAGATAGATAACTATATTACTGAGTTTTGTCAGATCATTGAACAGAACTGTTTGCAGTCTCACTGTTTGAAAGTCGACTTTATATGTTTTAATTTTGTAACTTGAACAACTATTTCTAAGGTAACGATATGTAATCTATTAACTAGTGATTCCCTACTGTTTATTCTTTCTGAAATTCTGTATAACTTGTACCCTTTTTCAGTTTTTTTTTTTTCTTTTTCTCCTTAAATAAAATTAAAAAAAAAAAAAAAAAAAAAAGACATAGCTGGTAGAGTTCTACCCGAGCATGTACTGGGTTCAATTCCTAATGATCCTTCAAACACATCAGCCGAAAGAAAAGCCCACAACGGGAACAATAAATAAACAAGGCAAGGAGGAGCTCTCCGGTGGCGCTTTTAGAAGCTAAGATTCTGGAGAGAAAGGGAGTACAGAGAAGCGAACACAACATTTGGTGATGCTTTGGTAATGCATAAGTTGTAAGTCAAATGACTGGGAAATGTAGCAGAGCTAATAATAATTCCACAGGATTTAGAGCAAAAACCTGCACTTAAGGCTGTCTGCACAGAAGCAATCTTAAATGCCCAGGTCTGGAGAAGGCGCATTTGGAGAGACACGCCCTAGAACGGGAACTGGGAAACTATGACTGGAGGTCAAATCCAGCTGATTTCCCTTTTGCATCGATAAGCATTATCAGAACACAGACAAGCCGGGCGTGGTGGCTCATGACTCTAATCCCAGCACTCGGGAGGCTGAGGCAGGAGGATCATTGTGAGTTCGAGACCAGCCTGGGCTACAAAGTGAGCTCAAGACTAGCCCGAACTGCATAGTGAGACCCTGTCTCAAAAAGATGAAAAAAAAGAACACAGACAGACCAAGTAATTTACATGCTGCTTCTGAGTATTTCAATGCTGTTATCACAGAGCTGAGCCATCACCGTCACCATACAGACTGCCTGGTTCTGCCCACAGAGAAGACTAAAACAAAGAGAGACCAGTCTTCATTAAGACTGAAATCCTCATCTGAAACACTTCAAACAAACTCTAGGTTAAATTTACCTGACATTTTTCTACCTCCGTTGAGGTGCAAAACTAAGTCCTCTATAGTGGACTTAGTTCTGTCAGAACTGTTGAGTATAAAGGAGAAAAAGATCAAACCACTAGAAAGTTCAAAGGAAAAACTCCCAGGGAAAGAATGGAAAGAGCCCAATATAACAAAAAACAAATTAGCAGGAGAATTGTAGTAGAGAATTAAAATCCATAAGTAAAATAATCAAATAAATTTTAAAACTAAACTTAATCACTGAATTTAAGAACACAGAAATATGTTTATAGCATATTAGACACACAGATGGAAAGACTAGTGCACTGGAAAATAAATCAGAAAAATATCTATACAAAAGCACACGTGAAAAGATGAAAAATATCAAGATAAAAGATCTAAAGGCCAGGTCCAGTGCATGTTTAGTAATGCCACACCCATTATATCCTTTACTGGGAAGGAGAGAGAATGGGGCTGAAATTGAAAAGGCAATGAGTCACCAAAATTGATAAAAGATGTTATCTAACAGTCAAGAAAATCCATGAACTAAAACCACTACAGACACAAGAAATCCATCTGTAGGTACGTGATAGTGGAACTGTCGTAAATTACATGGAAACTTTGATTTCAGTCAGAGAAAAGAAGCACTTCAGTTAAAGCTCTACAATAAAAGTGAGACTGACTTCTCAATTAAACCAGAAGACAATGGAATTGCATCCCCAAAGTTCTGACATAAAGTAACTGCCATTCTAAGAATTCTGTATACAGTAAAGCAAATGAAAAAGTGAAGGTGAAATAAAGACATTTTCCGAAAAAAGCTAGAAGAAAGAAAATATATACTAAGAAATTTAAAGACCAAAGGCAATTATTCCAAATTAAAAAAAAAAAAAAAGACAAGCAGGACAGCACATTGGGTAATGTAGATATATATATATAGGCAAGAATAAATCAACAATTCTACAAAATAATTATGCTATGTAAATATATATAAATTATATATAATTAAAATACATTTTAATAGTAACAAATTGCAGAAGGAACTTAGCAGAGATAAATTGTTCTAAGGTTCTTAGAGTGTTCGAGTGTCCTAGTCATTCACTTTGTAGCTCAGGCTGACCTTGAACTCCCAGCTATCCTCCTGCCTCAGCCTCACTAGTACTGGGATGACAGCAAAATATCCAACACCCATAATTTAAAGGGGGAAAGGCTTATTTTGCCTCATATTTTCAGCTCATGCTCAGCTGGCTCCTTACAGAAAGGGGCCGGCAGAGGGAAGCTATTCATGTTACAGTGGACAGGAGGCAGAGAAGGAAGAGAGGAGCCACAGAGGAAGGTACATCCATCCAAGTCACAGCCCAAGTGATCTGTCTCTTCTAGTTAGACTCCACCTCCTTAACAGCAACTCAGCTATGCCCTCCTGATCTAATCGCCTTCTATCCACCCAAGAATTTGGTGGGATATTTTGATATAAACAATAACATTCCACCTCTGGACCCTAAGGACTCATGTCCATCTCTTTATGCAAAATGCATTCAGTCCATCTCTAAGAATTACCAAGGTTGCAACAGTTTTGACATTACTGAATGGTTCAAACCCAAAGTCTCTTGTGAAACTCAGAGCACTCTTAGTTGTAAGCCTCTATAAAAATCAAAAAGAAATTTACATCCAAAAGGAAGAAATAGGAATAGGAAAAAAAGTTAAACCAAAGCAGGATCAAAACACATCAAGACAAACATTAGATTGCATAGCTCCAGGTCCAGAACTTGGAACAAATTATGGTGAGATATGAGCTCCACAGGACTTTGATGGCCCTGCCAGTTACAGCCTTCATGGCTTTCTCTTGAGGCAGATCCATTCACTAACTTCAGTTTTGCTTAGCAGACTTTCCATGTATCTGACTATCCAAATTCCTACAGTCTCCATTGCACTTTGGTTTCACTGTCATGTGCTGCCCTCTCAGGGACACACTGCATGGCTTTCAGACTTTCTTCTAAAATCTGGATAGACACCTCTCTGACCTCTCAACTCTTGTATTCAGTGTGCCTGTAAAACCAGAACCATGTGGATGATGTCAAGGTCTGCCACCGGTTCAACCAGTACTCAGCCTCTTTGGATCATGATTGCAGAGGCCTCCAAGTACCAGGATGGCTGAGCACCATAAGATGAGTCACAAGGAAGCAATTCTTTATGTGACCCTTCTGGAGCAGAGCACCCTGGAGCTCTCTTCTCAAAGCAAAGTCTTTCAAAAGAGTGTACTTTTACCCTTTTCATCCCTGAGCCAGTGAAAAGTAGAATTTGGCTGATTTCTAAGATGCCCTGAAGCCATCTTTACTTCTGTCCTGGTGACAAATACATGGTTTCTTTTTAATAGCATTTCTTTTCTGCAACCACATTCTCTTATGCTTCAGCTTTTCAGATGCTTTCTTCCTGAGTATGACTCCAAAGTTTTTAATTGGGCTTTTTGTTCTTGATTCTCACTGTAAACATGGCTGAAAGCAATCAAAAGTATCCATGCCACAACCTGAATGCTGGGCTTTCTTGAAATTTCTCCCACCAGGTTATATAGTCCAC